GAGCTATGGGGGGGGGGGGGGGGTTCTCTACAAACATGTTGACATTGGTATGATATTGTCCACTTTGGATTGAAGTAATTATGGTTTTGTTTTTGGTAATCTTTCGGAAAGTCTCATACCAATGAAGTATGTGTGTGCTTTATAAACCCATGGTTCTCCTCCTTTCCAAATATTGTGGGACTTTGATTGCACTTTCGATGCATACTATGTTAGATTAAATGTGTGCAATGTGTATGCCTTACAAGTGCTGAACTTTTGATATTAAATTGCAAAATAGTGTAGAACACAGATGATTGAAGTTGGCGTGTAGCAGTTCTTTTTTCTTTTTATTTTCTTGTCATGCAGACATACTCACGTTACTTTATTTCTATGGCATCATATGGAAATGTTATGATCTAGAATTATAATCAATTATTCCATGTTTGTGATTGCATTTTTTCATTTAATCTAGCTGTAGGATGAAATTGCCATGTAGGTCATATGATCAGTTTACACAACAGTCCAATTGAATCTGATTATTCTATGTTTGGGTTCATATATGATATACATTACTTGGAGCAATAACTTTACCCATGAACCAACAATGTTATGTTCCCAGTTTATAAAAGCGCAAGTAGAGTTGGTCTCCCTTCTTTTGGGGCTTAAATTGTATTTTTTTAAAACTATTTATCAAATAATTCTTTTAAATAATAATTTATCAAGTAATCATTTTATTTTTGTTTTGATTGCAGGTTATCATTCCCTAAGAAATGAGGATACTTTATTATATCTTGTTTAATTGAAACCTCTACATCATCATCTATGGCATTATTGGGCATGAGTGCAAACATGCGATGCAATGGCTATTTCCCAGAGTATTATTCCACAGGTGATAATGTTTTTGGTGCTGAAGGCAGCACATGGATCTCATCAAATGGTAACGGTGAATGTAAGAATGACCGTTACCAAATTGGTTCTTTGCCATTGTCAACTTGTCATCTTTTAGGATATAACAAAGAACTTCTGAAACAGACAATACTCAAGCACGAAGCCATATTTAGGGATCAAGTATGTTAGCTTCATGGTTTCTTTTGTGTTTTTTGTCTTACTCATTTCTGCAAATGGCTGCCAAGGAGAATTTATTTTATGCTCTATTAAAAATATAAATTAAGAGTGTAACAGCATCTTCATCTGAAAGTATAACCCATTATCTACACAAAGTAATAATTTTCTGTAGCTTTCCTGGTTTAGTATTCATCAAAGACGAGATTAAGCATTTATCATCTGTTGGTTGCTGAAATCCTGAAATTGTGTAATTCTAGACTCTGATGCATTGAAATTTCAGTGAAGAGTTTCCAATGTAATCTGTTAGGGTCACAAGTAAGCTATATAAGAAGATATTTACAAAATGGATTTTGAATAAAAGTTTAATGTTTATAAATAAATAAGATAGATATAAATGTATAGTCATATCTGTTTATTTATTGATTGTGGAAGTGAAGAACAAAATAGGAATCATATTTAGAAAAGTCAAAATGGTGCTGAAAAATTTGCCAATTCATTCCTTTTACCATTTATGTTTATAAAAAATTATTTCCATTCTTATTTCATCCAAAAGAAAAAAAAAATACTTGTGGAAGTTTGTTGTTTATGGCAAAAATATTGTTCTCCAATTTTCTTGGATATTAATCAAGATCTTAACTGTGCATTGCTTTTCAGATTCACGAGCTTCACCGCATTTACCAGAAACAAAGGGAATTAATGGATGAAATTAAAAGGATTGAGTTACATAAACATAGTTTAAGGTTGGAGACACCATCATCAAGTTCCTCTTTGTACTACTCACAAAGCTTGCCTTGGTTGACTAGTCAATCATCTGTTATAAATGCTGAAGGCAACCAGTTGCCATTAGCTTCTGTGCAAGAAAGGAGCAGGCAACTATGTCCTACTCATGCTTCAGCTCCAACTTCAATCAAAGAGTCTTTAAAAGATCCTAAATTATCAGTGTCGACTTTCAGAAAAGTTGGTAAGAAATTATTGGATCTTCAACTTCCAGCTGATGAGTACATTGATAGTGAAGGTGAATCTTGTGAGAATGAAAGGGTTATCAAAGAGCCCCCATTGTCAACTTATACTTTAAATGGAATTTCTAAGGTTGTCTATAGCACTGATGTAAAACAATATGGAACCATTTTTAATGGTTTTTCTGACTTAAATTTACCATTTAAGCTTGAAGAAGAGACAGGTGTGAAGTCTGATGATTTTGGTGCCTCAATCCATCACAGAAACTATACCTTTCATGATATGCCTGGGAGAATGACACTCGGCTCTCATAGTTTTCCGAATGATGTCATCCAGAATTTGAAAAGAAAACAGAATCTTGAATCTTGCTCAGATTCCCCACTACCAAACCAGGGGGAAAAGCATGGACTGCTGCCTATTGGTTCTAGTGCCGGTGAGAACTTATCTCCAAAGTTGCATTGTAGTTAGGAGTCTGTTTGTTTACAAAAGCACTTTTGAGAGTTTTTCTATGGAAAATAAAGTGTTTTTTTTTTTTTTTTTTTTTTTTTTTTTTTTTTTTTTTTTTTTT